TTGGAGCTCAGTTGTATGGAGAAAGAGAGAGAAGGGGGATGAGAGAGAGGGAGAGAGAGAGAGAGAGAGAGAGGGACAGAGACAGAGACAGAGACAGAGAGAGGATGAGAGACAGACAGAGAGAGACAGAGAAAGAGAGACAGAGAGAGAGAGAGAGGATGAGAGAGAGAGAAAGAGACACAAAGACACACAGAGAAAAACAGAGAGAGAGAGAGAGGGAGACAGAGAGAGAAAGGATAAGAGAGAAAGAGAGAAAGAAGCAGAGACACAGAGGGAGAGAGAGAGAGAGGATGAGAGAGAGAGAGAAAAAGAGACAGACAGAGAGGATGAGAGAGACAGAGACAGACAGACAGACACACACCCACACACCCACACACACAGGATGAGATAGAGACACAGAGAAAGAGACACAGAGAAAGACACAGAAAGACACAGAGAGAGACAGACAGAGGATGAGAGAAAGAGAGAGAGAGACAGAAAGAAAGAAAGAAAGAAAGAAAGAAAGAAAGAAAGAAAGAAAGAAAGAAAGAAAGAGACACAGAGAGAGAGGATGAGAGAGACAGACAGAGAGAAAGAGAGAGAGAGGGGGAGAGAAAGAGAGAGAGGGAGGATGAGAGAGACAAGAGAGAAGGAACCATATTTTGCAACCTAGCCCTTCTCTGTTGCTGCAAAAATATAATAAAAAGGTTAAATCTTACGTAGGTAGTCCTGTTGGCAAAAAGGGGGCAGAAGCAACATCAGAAAGTGTTCCTACTGATTGATCTTGTGACTATAGTGATTGGCTAAGCATCATTACATGAGGGATACTAATGGGAAGAGACCCAAGATAAAATGGGTGGGAATATCTATTTCATCAATATCACTCTAAGAGGAACAGCACACCTGTTTATCTAGGTCACCTGAGCATTGTTTTATTTTGAAAGATGAGTTTCACAAGCCTTTGCAACTCGCAGATGGAAGATGAGTTAAAACTCTTACTTCATCCGGTTTGCTTATTTGATTCTGACTTAGTACATGGTGCGAACTTGCCTGTTGTGGTTTCAAATAGCTGTTTACAACTTGGCAACCCATCACTGCATTTTCAGGCTGGTCCATATCTGTTGGATATCTTGCATGTTGCACCCAATGCTTAATGCATTCTTTGCAAGATGGGCCCTTCCTCTCCCCCTGTGAGTTAACTTGCAACTTTCAGAATAATTTGAGTTACGGGCGTTGTCCTGCACCCAGTCAGAAAAACTGTATTAATGGTGTGCTAGAATCGCTCTAGCAGTTCTGCGGAAAGCCAGTTTGGGGTAGTGGAGAAGGCACAAGGCTAGAAACTGGGAGACTGTGAGTTCTGGTCCCATTAGGTTAGACAGCAAAAGAAACTCCTGGGACATTTTTAAAAATCAAAACAAAACCAAGAGTATAACTTGACTGAAGATTCCATGTGGTTACAGAAGCAGAAAAGCCAATCCGAACAATTTCGCTCGAAAACAGTATAGGAAAAATTTCCCTTTTCCCCCCTGGACCTCCCATTGTCTGTTGTCCACCAATCATTTGCACTCTCTTTGTTTTGGGAAGATCTGTCTGACTTCCCCAGCTAGTGACCTTGAGGTGTTGGGTCTCTCTCAGGCTTCCAGTCAGCACACTTGCATTCCAAATTTCTCTCCCAAACCTCCCTTACATTCCAATGCCTTCCTTGCCCCCCCCCCCCCCCCACACACAATCCCGTTACAGTTGTCTGGTTGCAAGCGGGGCTGTGTAGTGAGTCAACCATGACAGTTGAAGGCAAAAGACTGGAAAATGGGATACCCGCTGAGTGACCTTGGGCTAGTCCCTCTCTGTCACAGCTAGGAAGCAGGCACTTTTTTTTTTATTTGATTTATATGCCGCCCTTCTCCGGAGACTCAGGGCGGCTTACAATGCGTTAAGCAATAGCCTTCATACTTTTGTATATTTTATACAAAGTCAGCTTATTGCCCCCACAATCTGGGTCCTCATTTCACCTACCTTAGAAAGGATGGAAGGCCGAGTCAACCTTGAGCCTGGTGAAATTTGAACTTGCAGTAATTGCAGGCAGCTGATGTTAATAACAGTGCTTTAGTCTGCTGCGCTACCAGGGCTCAATGGAACAACAACAGCAAAAATGTCCTAGAAAAAATGGTGATAGGCTTAGTAGATTTTGCCTTTCCTTTAAATCTGAAATAATAGTTTTTGCAAAAGCTAGACGCTTTCATTCCTGCAATTTGTTACATGTCATTTGACCAGGCAGGTCCTAAATTATCCCAGATTCAGATATTCAGAATATCTTCAGGGCTGAATTTTTCTCTGCCTTTCGTTCCTAAAATCTTCTCTGCCCCCTCCTCCCCAAATCATTTAGTAGACAAGAGGTAGATTTACATAAAGAATAAGCTTTCAGATTTGTTCTGCCATTCCTGTTAACTGGCAAAGTTTTCTCTCCTCCTCCCCCCCAATAGAATTTCCATGAAAGCATGATTTAATTTGCAGTTAATTAACTCATCAAATCTTCATTGTGATTAATCAATTAATGCTTTCCATCCCAGCTGAGACATTCATAATTTCTTATGAATAAAACGGGCCCTAAAGAAAATCGTATATATAGCAGGGTGATCAGTGGCAGTGAATGACAGCTCCTTGAAGAAGTGACAGCTTTTGAATATGGTATCCTGGATGCTCCTTCAGTTAAGGACTGAAATCTGTAATGGCCATTGAGTTGATGCATTCATTAATCACGGATTAAAATGTGAGGTTTACAATCAGAACTCATCCGTGGTGGAAAAGGTTTAACAATAGGTAGGAAAGGGATGAGAGGCATGGACTGGTGATGTAAAAGCTGAGAAGGAAGGGATAGGTAAGGTGGTACCTATCCCCAGATGCTTTGAACTGTATCTCTTGTAAGATCTCCTCATTCACCTTGCAAGCTATGGGGGACAAGATCTGAAATCAGGACCATCCAGTTCAAGGGGTAATTATTTATGGCATAAAGCCATCTTTATCTATTTGCGAAGTATCTTTCCATCCTCAAAAAAACAGGAGACATTTTGTTTCTGTTCTTTCAGACAGACCAGATCCTCATTTGACTTGCCACTTGACTTGAGGCAAGCAGACTTTGTGGTGTGTTACATAAAACCTCCAAAACCTACCGTATTTTTTGGAGTATAAGACGCACCTTAGTTTTTGGGGAGGAAAATAAGAAAAAAGCTGATTGGCAGGTGGATCAGCCTCCTGGAATACCCCCAATCAGCTGTTCCCAGAGGTGTCGACTGGGCTCAGGGACGTCTGCTGCTGGACCGGGGCGGGTGGGGGAGCGGGTGGAGGGGGGGCCCAGACGAGACTTAGCTGCGGAGGGGCTCGGAAAAAGCTGGAGAGAGTTTGCTGCTGCTTTTTATTTTTTATTTTTAAAAGCAGGTGCAGTTGTAGATCTCTCTCTCTCCCCGCCCCCCCCCCCCACATATAAACAACAAGTATCAATATATCAAATGTCTCTTTTTCCCCCCGGTTCCCCCTCCCCCCCCCCTCCTTCTCAGCTCTCCGTAGCTCTGCCTTTTTGACTTCGTGCTCCGCTGGGCTCGGTTTAAATCGTAGAAGCTGGACTTGCACAATCGGGTCGAGAAAAAGCGCAAAGTCTCCGAGAGTTTGCACGCAGATTGAGATCTGGAGGGGGGTTCTGTTATTATTATTATTATTTTCCCCCCCCCCCCCGCTTTCTTTCGCCCGGCCGGGGCGCTGGGGGGGGGGGGGGGGAAGGGTTCCTTGCGGAGAGAAAAGGCCCAAGCATCCTTTTAAATTTTAAGAGGTAAGGGGAGAGGGCCGAATTCGCCTCTCTGCCAAAGAGACCCCCGGTTCTCTGCTTGCTCAGGTTAACCAGAGCCTGCGTCACAAGCCTCGACTTTTGCAAAATGATTTGGCAAGGAGGAAGAAAGAGATCCTCCTTGCCAAATCATTTTGCAAAAGTCGAGGCTTGTGACGCAGGCTCTGGTTAACCTGAGCAAGCAGAGAACCGGGGGTCTCTTTGGCAGAGGGGCGAATTCGGCCCTCTCCCCTTACCTCTCCCCCCCCGGCGTTGCGAAGACCACCGCGGCTCGCCAGGCCCTGGATTTCCCGGGGCGCTTACTCGCGAGCAAATCCAAGTGGGATGCTAACTTCGCTTCCTTGAGCAAAGAAGGGGCGTATTGGGCAGAAGGGAGCTTTAGCGGCAGTGTGCCCGCATGTGGGTCTGGAGACACGGTATTAAAGCAAAACAAGACACGTAGATACCTGCATAGGGCTGGCTCGGGAGCTTAGCTCCAGAAAGATAAAAGGCAAATAGTGGAGATTGAAGGAAGCGATGGTTTGGGTTCTGACCAAAAGAGCTGTGGTGAAAATGAAGAGATTCAGCACAAAAACTGAATATAGGGATATTCTATACTCTATCTATCTATCTATCTATCTATCTATCTATCTATCTATCTATCTATTTCTAATCTAAGTTTTTCCTTGGAAAAGCTTTAGTTCTTGTTTGCAAAAACTAAATCAGGAGGAAGCTTTTTTCTTAAAATAAATAAATAAATCCGCAGCTGAATTCTTTGATGAAGACCAAAGGGGGGGGGAGTATGCGCGCGGGCGCGAGCCCGTTGAAGAATTGATCAAAGTCTCAAGAGCGACGCGGTTGCAGCCCTTCCACGGAGTGGGGATCCCTCTGCGACCCTTCCTCCTCCTTTAATTGCTAATTAAAATGGGGATATTTTTTTTCTGGAAAAAAAAAAAACCACCTGCCAAAGTATTATGGGACCTGTTATTTCTTCCCCACCGGTCCCTTCACGTCCGACCCTATAAGTGTTCTTTGGGGACTCGGCTGACAAAACATCTGGTTTGGAGGAGCGATGCTCCTGGAATCGAGAAAAGCAAAACTTTGAGGCTATTCGCTTAACTCAAACAATTTACATACGAAGATTCTTCTTAATCCGAAGCACATTTTTAAAAAAAAAAAGAAAAAAAGAAAATCATTTGCAATCAGGCGACCTTGAAAAATATTTATAGTTTTGGAAGGGTTTTCCCTTCTAATAAAATTTTTGGTGAAGTTTCTGAGGTGTTTCTTGGTCTCCCCTGTCCTTCCAGAATAATTAGGGCAAACCTCCTCTCCCTTCTTTTTCATTTTTCCTGAGTTCTTTTCGTGAAGAGCCCAGCGGGTTTTATTATTACTCTTTTTTTTTTTTTTTTTTGGGTAACAAACCCCCAGAACCATAATGTCAGATAGCTGCTAGAGAAGGGAAAAAAAAAAAAAAAGCAATCCAATATTTATTTTGGCCTTCTTAGAAGATAATTACGATTTCTTTTGGAGTAAAGGGCGTGCGTAAAACCAGTTGCTTCCCAAGGAAAAAAAAAAAAAAGGAAGGAAATTGCTGGATAAGAATTGTTCAGGGCTACAATCTCACGCTCGCAACCAAGAATGACAATCGCTCTTAACAGCTTGGGGGCACCGCTCGTTTTCTTATTAGGAGTTTAGCATCTTTAGTTCCAATCCATCCCCCTTCTTTAAGACGGTAGTAGCACCTCTGCTCTTTTCCGACGACGCGTCTTTTCAAGCCTCTTTCCCTTTCGGTGGCTCCTGGCCCCTTTCTTAAACTCGAGTCGTCAGTTCCTTGCTCTTCCTGCTTATGTGTGGCCTTCCGAAGACTCAACTTTGCAAAGGCCTTCGAGATCGGCTCCTGGAGCGCAATAGGCGAGCGTCAGGTTTCTTGGGGGTCGAACTTCTTAGCGATGGCCTTCAAGCACGGAGAAAGAAGTCGGAATGGACCCGGAGCTTCAATCGGGTGCATTTTCATCCACCTGAATGATTTAGGGACTTATGGGGTTGGGGGATTGGGAAGAAGGAGAAGGAAGGAAGGAAGGAAGGAAGGAGAAGGAGAAGTCAGGAAGGACGAAGGACAGTGGCCCCGTGTCTCTGGTCGGGCCCCCCCCTTTTTTAATTTGATTTATATGCCGCCCTTCTCCGAAGACTCAGGGCGGCTTACAATGTGCTCAGCAATAGCCTTCATCCTTTTCTATATTTATACAAAGTCAGCTTATTGCCCCCACAAACTGGGTCCTCAATTTACCTACCTTAGAAAGGATGGAAGGCTGAGTCAACCTTGAGCCTTGGAGAAATTCGAACCCTGCAGTAATTGCAGGCAGCTGGTCTTAATAAGCTTAATAACAGGGTGCCTTAAACCCCTGTACTACCAAGGCCCTTCCACATTCACCCCTGGAATTCTGTGGCTTTAAGACTGGAGTGAGTGAGATTCTGGTACCTGCAGGGCCAACCACAAATAACAAATTCGTCTTCAAATCTGACCGTATCTTTGATATACCCCCCCCTCCCTCTCTCTTGCCTACTTTAAGCCCGGGAAGCTGCTTAAATTTAATTTCCACCCCTTTATTTCTTTACCACAGGCGGCTGCTAGAGTCAAAATGCTAACAATAATCAGTTTTTTTAAAAAAACGATGGAAGTTCCTTAGGCTGCTGCTATTTATTATTATTATTATTATTATTATTATTATTATTATTATTATTATTATTATTATTATTCGATCATTAGAGAAGAGGCCGGATAGGATGCAAGGGGGAAAAGAGAATAAACTTGGCCTGCGTGTGCACACGCACACAGACCTACGAATGATAAATCATAGGTTTAGACTCTCTAAGCTTCTACTGTAAATTAGAACTCGCGAATCCTAACTTGGTCTGACGCGGAATTAAAGAGGATTTTTATATTACAAAACTGCCGGGAAACTCCTCTATCATTAAAAGAAACACCTGCCCCCCCCCGCCTCGATCCCACCGAAGCCCTTGTAAAAAGTGCAGTCGGACTAATCCCTTCACCGCCCCCCCCTCCTCCTTCATAGCGATATCTTTCCCAGGAACAACGAACACCCCCCCCCGTCCTGTTTTTCAGAGGGCGACCAAGCCCCCAACTTTCAGTTCCCTTCCCCCTTAATAAAAAAACCCCAAACTTCCCATCCGACGCCGCTCCCCTCCCTCCCTCCCTCCCCCGCCCCCGCGTCATTTATAAGATTTATTTCCCGAGCTCTGGATGTGAGTTATAAAGAAGCTGCTAACACGTGTTCCCTCCAGAGACCTTGTCCCCAGCATTAAATTAAAGTCCAGTAGGGTTACGAGGAGGTGGGGGGCCGGAGGAGAGAAAACGAGGGATGGGGGGGGGGTTATTCCCCTCTCCTATCTCTTTCCTTTCAAAGCTATCAGGTAGCTAATAACGGTGCCAAATTATACCCAATGCCAAGCAGACGTGCCTACTTCCGCGGCGAGGGAGGGAGGGAGGGAGGGGGGAAAAAGTGAATTCTACCCAAGCGGTGTCTTACTAAAATCTGGGCATTTTTTTTTTTTTAAATTTAGCAACCCCGGATGAATAGAGGTTGGGCCGGCGGAGCAGAGAAGCCACTTATAAACGTGCTTTTCGTTCTCTCGCTCTCCTTTCTCTGTGGGACAAACTTTTCTTGCCCATCCTGGATGATTGTGTG